AAGGGAGGTTAACACCTCCAAACCCATCCAACACGCCGCCAGCGTCGGCGGATCCCTACACCCTCAGCTCTAAACCCCAAACCCTGCAGTCTCGGCTCACAGGGGCGACTTTGGCCTACTTTGGTGCCGAGGTGGTGAAAGTGGCCTCCCCAGCGGCTGTTTGTCCGATGAGTACAGCCCCTTTAAGAGTACTATAAGGGAACCAAACTTCGGTCCCTTTAAGGGTACGAGAACGGGAAACTTAACTCTTTTTCCCAAGTTGAAGTCACCATGTAAGACCTGGCTGGCAAAACCGCTCATCAAATTGCCTCGCAGACCCTGAGAGCGCTAAGCCACCTCAAACTGTAAGAAAGAAAGGGGGAGCACCGACATTTTCGGATTTAGGGCTTTCGGCATTTCTCGTTCTCCTGAGAACTCTGCGTGCGATCGTTGGCTTCTTGCAGCGCATGCAGCAGCAGATCAAGGTGAGGCAGGCATACGGAGAACGTTTCCACCCGACAAAGTCCTGAATGCTAGCACATTATAGCCAGTATAACTTAGAGCAATCAAACTATGAGTTTTAATGGGGAAGTAATTGAGTCCCTAAGCAAAGCATCGCAAGGGAGAGTGTTACTTGCTTACCGGATGTGGCGAGTGATCTGCCGATCGGTGTCCCGAAGCTCCTGCATGTATGTTTGTACTTCAGGGAAGGGAAACACCATGAAACAACAATCTGAGCTGGTGAACTTAAACGACGCATACATCACACCGTTCGATCTTGAAAATCGTAGCCCTTTTCTGGACCAAGGCTCAAAATAGCGCACTCTGTTTCAAGCTGCCTGCACTTGCTGCAAAGATGGCCCGCTCCCGCTCCGTCACTGGTGCCATCGTGACTGCACTGGGCCTTGGCTTTGTAGCCTCTCAGCTTGGCGGTGCCTTCGTGGGATCCTCCCCGCAGCGGGGAGGCCCTCAGGTGGTGCGGCATGTGGGCGTGGACTATCTTCTGCGCAACGGCCCCAAGGATGCCGACCCTCCTCTTATGGACCCCAACACCGCCTCAGGTGCCACCCACGAGATCGAGTTCAAGAAGAAGCCTTTCGGAATCCTGCGCTACGCGCCCGGAGCGGGCGGCAACGGTGCCGTGGTCCGTGAAGTGAAGCAGGAGTCCCGCTACCCGGGTGACCCACAGGGCCAGGCTTTCGTGGCCGGGGTCCAGCCGGGTTGGGTCGTGGCCTCCGTGAACGGCCAGGATGCGAAGAACATCAAGTTCGAAGACCTCATGGAGTTCATGGACGACGAGGTGCTGGACCCTGTGGCAGCCCTGTCCCTGAACTTGAAGGAGAACGGCGTCTCCTCCGAAGGTAAGGGCATCGGCGAGAGCACTTTCACCTTTGGTGGTGGCAACCTCGCCCCACTGCCCATCAAGGTTGTGTACCAGGAGCCGTGAGGAAGGAATCCTCGCAAGGCGAATTGAGCCTCGAACAAATCCGCCGGACAGGGCACACTTTCTTCTCTGTTTTCGTGGAACAGGTAGTAGGCGCATGCCGAAGCATTTCGTCTGCAGGTTGACCGTAGTTCTGAGTGTACACTATTGACCTCCGTGGTTAGACCGAGTATGAGGATGGAAAAGCATTGCCGGAGTGGAGCTCAGAGGCTATCTGTTTGAGCAAAGTGAGAGTGCAACAGCACAGCAGGCACATGGTCATGATAATCGCATCGTCGAGCTTAGAGGTCAAGGTTAACGATATAATGAGTGCTGCCCTCGAAAAACTAAAGACTGACAGCGGATAGGTTCTCTCTAGCCTCGTACCGCTTGCTACAATTACCCTCATGTTTTCTCCTGGGCGCACGGAAGGGCAAGGGCCTGTAAACCGCACCGATTTGGCTTCACAGAAGCAAGGAATGAACATAACCAGAGAAAGCTGGTGTTGGACTATTCATAGGATTTATGTTGAAACTCCACCCCCACGCTGGCGGATTTCCCATCAAGTGATGCCGTTCTTGCATTACTTCAGTACCTGAAGCTTGCAAAATCCCGTCTCCAGCTCCAGAAGTTCAAATCTCACGGATGACCCGAGAACCAAGAGCCAAGGGTTTGTCCAGAGTTTAGGGTGTAATTCGTGGGGGAGACGCTGGCTTGGGATTTGGCTTTCTAGCGATTGGTGGGGCTGCTATGGCACGCCGCCGCCCTGTGCCGTGCACTGCAGCCGCTACAGGCGCAGCTGTTGCGGTGTCGAACTCTCTCTCTCTCTCTGTCTCTCTCTCTCTCTCTCTCTCTCTCTCGCTCTCTCTCCGACTCTCTCTCCGACTCTCTCTCTGACTCTCTCTCTGACTCTCTCTCTGACTCTCTCTCTGACTCTCTCTCTGACTCTCTCTCTGACTCTCTGACTCTCTCTCTCTCTCTGTCTCTCTCTCTCTCTCTCTGTCTCTCTCTCTCTCTCTGTCTCTCTCTGTCTCTATCTCTCTCTCTGTTCACTACGTGATCATATCTGCCCATACATACAGATATGTATGCATCTACGCCGACCACCCTATGTGTATATATATATATACATCTATTCCCATTTTCAGCTATGTACATATATCTAATGTTTTATTCATGTATCTATATATATATATACACTTAGATGTATGTCGCACAAACACACACACACACACACGTTTATTTATTTGTATATATATATATATACCACCATCTATATATATATGTGGCCGAGACCTTT